TTTATTATTGAAAATTTTATACACACACAAAGTAAAAACAGTAGTGTAATATATCTCCATGTACCCATCTTGACAGTCTCGTTTCAATCATCTCTCCCACTCTTGGGGCAAGAAGATTTTATTTTATTTTTGTTTTATTATTATTATTATTATTATTATTATTATTATTAATAGTGTGTTTGTTTGTGTGTGTGTGTGTGTGTATGTTGCTGGAGATCAAACCAAGGGCCTCTCCTGAATGCTGAGCAAGCACTAAGCTGCTACTAAGCTGCATCCCAAGCTCATGAAAGACTACTGTGTACAGTGCTCTGCCTCTAGTCCTTGCTGAAGTAAACTGTTTGGCACTAGTGAGAAAATCTGTTTGGATTTAACCAAGATACATTCCCACTTTGACTTTAACCTTGTCTATCTCCTAGTAAAAGTGGCAAAAAATTTTTGATTTTGGCAGTATTATACTCACTTTGCAGGGGGGAACAGTAGGTAAAAGTTATTTCAAAATCAACTGGCTTTAAAAGAAAAAAAAAAGCAGTATGTGGCCAGATGTGGTAGCACACACTTGTAATACCAGCTACTGGAAAGACTACAGCAGGACAATCACAAATTGGAGAGCACTTTGGGAAACTTAGCAAGACCCTGTCTCAAAGTAAATAAGGGATGGGGATGTGGTAGAGTGCTTGCTAGCATGTGCAAGGTCTTGGGTTCAATCCCCATACCAAAAAATAAAAAGCAATATGTAAACATAAAAAAGTATTTAAATGATGTAAACATCCAGGCTTCCGGGTTGGGTAATCATTGATAACAGTTGCTTGTGTGTTACTTCCAGAAAATATTAGTGTTTATGCAGATCAACATGAATGATGCTTTGTTTTGTTACACAAATAGACTCAAACCAGACACACATTCTCTGTTTTGTTTTGTTTGATTGAATGTATTTTGATGATGTGTTAGTCAGTTTTCTGTCACTGATGAAATACCTAATAAAATCAACTTAAAGTGAGAAAGCTGTATTTTCTTTTAGGTTTTAGAGATTTTAGTCCCTGGTCTGTGGCTCTATTGCTTTTAGGCCTGTGGTGTGGCAGAACATGATGGTGGAGGGATGTGGCAGAAGATACCTACTCACCTCATGGCAGCCAAGAAGCACAGAACATGAGGAAGGGGCCAAGAAAATAACAGCCCCTCAAGGACATGACCTACTTCTTCCAACTAGTCCCCACCTCCTAAAGTTTCTACCACTTTCCAATAATGCCATCAAGTTATGAATCCATCAATGAATATTTCAGTCCACTGATGAGGTTAAAGTCCTCATGGTCCAATCACTTTCCAAAAACCCCACCTCTGATCATTGCTTGCACTGGGGACCAAGCTTTCAACACATTAGCATTTTGAGGACATTCCAGATCCAAACCATAAGAGATGGCTTTCCAAATCAGTATAAATATGTTTACATTATTCTTTTTATAAAGCTTGTAGATGGAGGTAGAATTTATACCTTAATTTAATTAACCAGTCCCTAAATGATTAATTTTTAGGGATTTTTTTTCAACAATTTGCTTTTACAAACAGTATTATAGTGCACATACATGCAAGCACAGATATGACACATCAGCAGGCTACATTGCTAGGAGTATAACTCTTAGGACAGAGTATGCACACTTAGCTATTTTGTTGTTGTTGTATTGCAGTGCTGGGGATTGAACCCAGGACCACTTTACCACTGAGCTACATACTCAACCCTTTTTTATTTTGAGATAGGGTCTCACTAAATTGCCCAGGCCAGCTTTGCACTTATGATCCTCCTGCCTCAGCCTCCCTAGTCACTGGGATTATAGGTATGCCCCACCAAGCCTGGTTGATTGTTCTTTTTCTGTGCATTCCCTGATCATGCCCCTTTTCTCTTTGTATTATTATTCACCTTAATTTTATCAATTTATATGATATCTTTGTTATTGAGGAAAGTTTCAGGTATTTTAAATATATGTTCCTAGCCAAACATAGTGGCACATGCCTGTAATCCCAGTGGCTTCGGAGTCTGAGGCAGGAGAATCATAAGTTCAAACCAGCCTCAGTAACTTAGTGAGACCCTGTCTCAAAATAAAACATAAAAAGGAGTGGGGATGTGGCTCAGTGGTAAAGCACCCCTGGGTTCTATTCTTGGTACCAAAAAATAAATAAATAAGTATATGTTCCTACTCTATTGCTTGCATTTTATGTGTGCATATGTGTGTGTGTGTGTGTGTGTAAAATGTATCAACATTTTGCATTATAGTTTTTGTATTTTGTATCATGTTTAGAGTTTCTTCACTCACACAAATTAGGCAAGTTTTGCCCAATTTTCTTCTTATGCTTAAAGTTTCTTTTTTGTTTTTTTTTAACACTTAAGTATATCTGAAATTCCCTTGATTTATACTTAACTTTTCAAGCTTAGCACCCCTGGATATGTTTTCTTCAGGCTAGTGTTTTCAAACACTTGCACAAAAGGACATTTCAGAGAAATGGCAAGTGCCCTTGAGTTCCTGAGGATCAGGGGAGAAGATTTGGTGCTAGCTACAGTGTCAGATCCAAACCATAAGAGATGGCTTTCCAAATCAGTATAAATATGTTTACTTTATTCTTTTTATAAAGCTTGTAGATGGAGGTAGAATTTATACCTTAATTTAATTAACCAGTCCCTAAATGATTAATTTTTAGGGATTTTTCTTTTCAAAAATTTGCTTTTACAAACAGTACTATAGTGCCCATACATCCAAGCACAGATGTGACATATCTTTTTGAAGCCTTATGTTTTACCTTAGTCATACCAGTTTTTCATTATGGCTCATATTATATTTGTGTTTCCTTTAATATAAAAAAAAGAAATTTAAATTGTTTATCTATTGAGTAAAAGCACTACCCCCAAGAAGATGGGCCATTCCATGTTTAGCCTATGCCATAGCCTCCTGTGGCACTGGTCCTATTGTATTCTCTGGGGAGAGGGTTCTGTTCAAAGCCTCAGGCTCTTGGTCTATAGTCAAGGTGCAGTGCCATTAAGGGAGTATATACAGCCAGTGTTGCCTTTATTAATTTTCTAAGGCTGTTTTTACAAGGTACCACAAACTAGGTGGTTTAAAAACAACAGAAATGTATTCTCTCACTGTTCTAGATCTGAAGTCTGAAATCAAGGTATGGGGTTTCTTTCTGGAGCCTCAGAGGGAGAATCTGTTCTATGCCCCTCTCCTAGCTTTTGATGGTTTCTGGCAATTCTTGGCATTCCTTGGTTAGTGGCAGCCTAACTCCAGTCTCGAACTCTGTGTTCACATGTGTTCTTTCTGGGTGTCTGGGTGTCTTTCCTTTTCCTATAAGGACACCAGTCATATTGGATTAAAGGCCCACTTTACTCCAGTATAACCTTATCTTAGACTAACTAATCCACAACAACCTTATTTCTAACTAAGGTTACCTTCTAAAGTTCCATAAAGGACTTGATTTAGGGGTGATAGGAGATACTATCCAAGCCAGTACAGTGCTTTTTGTTAGAAAGTACTGGTTCAAAGAACAGGGTGACCCTGGGTTATGCCTGCCAAATTTTTTCTGACTACTCATTATACTTTCCTATCAAAGCCCTCACTAGGCACAGTGGTACATGCCTGTAGTCCCAGCAACTCGAGAGGCTGAGACAGGAGGATTGCAAGTTTGAGGCCAACCTTGACAACTCAGTAAGGCCCCCCAGCAACTTAGTGACTCTGTCTCAAAATAAAACAAAAGGGGCTGAGGATGTATCTCATTGATTAAGCACCGCTGAGTTTAATCCTCAGGACCAAAATTTTTTTTAAAAAATATTTATTTTTAGTTGTAGTTGGACACAATACCATTATTTTATTAATTTATTTTTTATGTGGTACTGAGGATCAAACCCAGGGCCTTGAACATGCTAGGCAAGCACTCCACTGCTGAGCTATAACCCCAGCCCCAGGACCAAAATATTTTTTTTTTAAAGTCTCCCCATAACTCTTTGCTGGGAATCAAACCAGGGCCTCCCACGTGCTATGCAAATGCTATATCAAAGAGCCACACACCCAGCACAAAAACCACTGTTTATTTTCTTTATTTTAAACTTTTGTTTGAAAGAGGGTTTTGCTATGCTGCTCAGGCTGGTCTTAAATTCTTGAGCTCAAGTAATGCTCCCACCACAGACTCCAAAGTAGCTAGACTACAGGTAACATCACTATGCCCAGATAAACTTTTTTATTATGGAAAATTTTAAATGTATGCAAAGGTAGATTAATTTTAAATGTATACAAAGGTAGAGAGTAATGGATCACCCACCCATGTATCTATCACCCACCTTCTGTGAGTGACAGATTAATGATTAATAGTTTCTCCTTTACCCTCCAACTCAATTATCAAAGATATATCATTTTATTCATGTACATTTCAGTATTTCTAAGACATAAGGTCTCTTTAAGAAACCTATCCATTATCTGGGTGCAGTGGCACACACCTGTAATCCCAGCTTCTCGGAAAGCTGAAGAAGGAGGATCACAACTTTGATACCAGTTTCAGCAACTTAGTTACACCCTATCTCAAAATTAAAATTAAAAAGGGCTGGAGGGGTAGCTCAGTGCAGAGCACCCTGGGTTATATCTTCAGTACCACAAAGGAATTAACAAAATAAAAGTTGATTTCGACAAAAAGCATATAATTCCACCAATTTCAGTTTATACTAGAACTTGTTCTAAAAGAATCTTCTGGTAGAAAATAAAATGCCTGGCTTTATCTCAGGAAACGTTTTTAGAAACCCAATTCATGTGGCTTTGCTCAGGCCTACAAAGCTGAAGGATGGATAGTGGTGATCCTCTTCCTCAAACCCAGCCCATGCCTAGCCCTTCTACTTCCAGATGGCTGACACTGTCAAGCATGCTTACCAGCATCTTTCCCTGTCTGTTTTACTAAAGTAAAGGAGACTATGCTGAAGCCCACCTCTCACCTGGTGGAGTACCATGTACAAGAACTGTTCTTATGGTTATGGAGTTTTCTGCCACCATCACCAGGTAGTAGGTTTGAGACCTGAACGGTCATAGCCTGTGGGGTATAGGCTTCCAGAAGGGAGTTGAGTCAGATATGGTTGAAGATTATTGATAAAGTCTCCTCAGGATTGAGGCTGGAATTCCTCGTATGTTAGAACCTAGGATAAGAGGGCTTTGGATTTCCAAGTGTTTGCCAGAGACCCACAGTAAAAACTGTATTTTACCTCTCCTTTCCCCCTACCCCTCTCTTTCCTTCATTCACTTTCTAGATATCACACACACACAGACACATCTTAAGTTTTATGAAACCGATACTTACACTCACCATGTATGATATATTCTGAACTTATCTATTTTCTCTACTTTATTCACTAAAAAAACTGAACTTGTAAACATTATTTCAAAATTACCTGTAGAGATTTTTGAAATGAACTGTAGTAAATGCATTGCTCTAAGGAAGGCTTAAGAATTCAGTCCTGGGCTGAAGATGTTGCTCAGTCACATTGCATATGCAAAGTCCTGGGTTTAGTCATCCCCAGCACCAAAAATAAAATAAAATCCATCCTGCTGAATCCCTTTGCCTAACAATTCTTTTCTTTGTTTTTTGTTTGTTTGATTATTTGTTTTTGTTGTTTGTTTGTTGTTTTGCTATTATTGAGGGGAAAATCAAATTCAGCATGGCATTCAAGGCCCTTCAAAATCAAAGCCTCTACCAATTTTTAAATTTTCCCCTACTTTCTGCCTCTCCACTCCCCCTCTTTTTTTGGGAGGTGCTGTGGAGAAAACCCAGGGCCTTATGCATGCTAGGGGTAGTGCTCCAACACTGAACTATATCCCCAGTCCCCCTTATGTTTTAATTCATAGATCGTTTCATTTTTATGGAAAACATGCTGTCCTTTTATGCATCTGTGCCTGCTTTTTTTCAGCTGGAAATTGAATCCAGAGGTATTCTACCACTAAGCTCTTGAGCTATATCCCCAACCCTTTTAATTTGTTTTGAAACAGGGTCTCACTAAGTTACCTAGGTTGGCCTCAAACTTGAAATACTCCTGCCTCAGCCGCCAGAGTAGCTAAAATTATGAGTATCTGAGGTTATAGGTGCGTACCACCACACTCGGCTTTATCTATACCTGCTTTTGCCCATGGCATTTCCTCCACTGGGACTGTTCTTTATCCTCTTTACCTAGAATACTCCTCGTCATTCAAGATCCAGTTCAAGTGCCCCCTTGTCTCTGTGACCTGGTCAACTACCCCTCTTTTGATCTCCACTATCATGCTATGCATCCCTATAACAGCACACATTTATGCATGTATGTTCTGTACATGATTATAAGTATAAACACTGCCACATTCCCAAAAGGACTCATGACAATGATATAGAGTATACTATGATTATTTGTTCATGTGTTACTCAGTGCTTTTATCTTAGAGATTAAGTCTTAATCTCAACTATGCTCCTAATGCTGAACACAGTGTCTGGCCCAGAGTAAAGGGGCTTTGGAAATGTTTGTAGAATGGATGAAAAAAATGAATAAGTTCTCTGCAGCCTGGGCATTCATTAGACCTAGCTTGTACCAAGTATGGTAGCACATGCCTATAATCCTAATAACTCAGGAAGATGAGGCAGGAGGATTACAACTTCAAAGCTGGCCTCCATAACTTAGTGAGACCCTGTTTAAAAAAATTGCTGGGGAAATAGTTCAGTGATAGAGTACCTTGAGTTCAATCTCTAGTACTGTGAGGGAGTAAAAAAAGACCTGACCTAATTTAATTAAATGGTGCTGCTGGCCCCCAGGATGATTATGGATATAGCTCTGAAAGACAATAAGTGCCAACTCCTGGATCTGCTCCAAGGTGCCCAAGCTACTGCTGGAAAAATTGGAAAAGAGGTCATCCCTAGAGAAGATCTGGCCAACAGTCCCTACTCAGAGTCTCTGGATTTGAGTTGCTACCAATGCTTCTTTCCCAAGCTAATGAGGGGCTTGAACAATAAGAGTTAACTAGCGGGGGATGAAATTTGGGCCAGTAAAAAGGATACATAATTTCTGACAGAAGCCAGGGAGCATCTGGTAGAAAGAAGATTCTGTATCTGGACCAATTCCTTTTATACCAGTCAAATATTCCCTTAAATGAACCCCCAAGCTCTGCACAGTTATCTCCTTACTCTGCATAGAACCTGGAGAGCTAGAACAGAGTAGGCAGTATTCACTCTCCCTGGGTATATAGAACGAGAGAAGTTAGGTATCTTGCTGCATTGTCACATAGCCCGTGGAGATATTACCTACCCTTCTGCTTCCAGCTCAGGAGACCCTCACTCCCGACCACGGTCATGAGACAGCCACATCCTTTTGTCTATCTGTCTCTTTCAGGAGACAAATACCATGTTTGAGGTACTCTTTGGCCTGGGGTACTAAGAAGCCATAAAGGCTGTGTATGCTTGCAATGTGTTCACTTTGATCACCCGGATCAGTTGCATCTTTGTGGTCAACATGCTGGATAGCTGCCTCCCATTGCAGGATTTCATTGATTTCTCAGAATTGTGTGACAAGTAGGATGAAAGACCAGCAGGTTAGTGGTCATCACAGGAATGTTAAGGAATGGAGGAAGAGGTGTCTTCTAAAGGTTAGGGTTAGGCCCCCAAAGAGGGAAAGTGTTTTGATGAGATCTGAGGGACCAGTTGGCAGAGTCTGGACTTAAACCTGCCTCCTGACTCCAAAACTAGTGTTCTTTCCTTGTTTCCAGGCCTTATATTCATAGAAGACTTTCACTGTCCACTTGTACACTCTCACACAGCACTACCTTGTTCTAATTCTAAGCTGAGGTCATGCGTCTTGGGAGATAAAAAGTAAAACAAAAAGAAAAACAGGAACAGAAAGCAATATTCTGGGTACATGTAAAGGTGGTTCTGAAATGTGTAGGTAAGCACAGAGGGTAAGAGTATATGTGACTGTGGTTTTGTTTCTATATATCATTGTATGGATGTGCACAGGGATATGGCTGTGTGTATACAAAGGAGGTATGAGTGTGATGGAATGTAGACATATTTAGCCCAAAGAGAATGAGTGTGAATATTGTGAGTGTGGCTGGATGTGTAGGTATAGTTTCAGTTGAGTGGGTACATACATAATGTAGGGTTTGTCTATATGTTCAGAGGTGGCCAATCCACGAACCAGAAGTTGTAGATATTTTTTATTGTATACATGTATGTGTGTGTGTGTGTACACGTATATCTGGGGAAGGTGCATGTTTCTGACCCAAGAACAGGTTGAATGTGAGTATGCAATAGTATATTATGGTAAACTAGAGTGATTCAATGTGTTTGTGGGCCTGAAGAGTGTTGGTAAGTCATTCAGAGTTGTGAGTCCAAGTGTGTATCCTGTTCCTCTGGACTTGGGAACAGAAGTTGAGTACTATGAAAATTAGGCTAGTATATCTGGCCTGGAGCTGAGGATCATGAAGCTCCTAGAAACACATCCTTCATCCTCCATAAGGGGGAGGCTGAACTGTCATTATATTTGGAAATTTGGTGGGAAGTCTAGAGGACAAGAGAATGTTATCTTACTCCATGATCAGGTTTGCTGTAAGTTCATTTCCTTGTTCTTTCTTCCTGCTCATGGACTAGAATAAGAAAATGCTTCCTTTTCCCTGCCTCCTCCTTCTCACAGTACTCACAGTGTCTATTAGCAGCAAGCTCCAAATTGTCATCTAAAGTCACTGGATCATCTATTCCCTGTGGTAACTTGATGCTTGTTTTTCCAGGAAAGTCAGAGCCAACCTTTCCTCTTGGGGCTAAGCTTATTAAATAAATTCCTCAATAAAATCCTTAGTTGGTTGAAACCCACCAAACTGCCTTGTTATCTATCTCCTCCAGGACCCAAAAGTTTCCTGTTTCATCTATCCTTTTTACTCTCCCCTTCCTACTTCCTCTGGCTAGGCCTGGGCCAGAGGCCCATCTTCCCCCCTTCTAGAAAATGGGAGTCGAGAACAGTATGTGTGTAGGAGAGAGGAATTGCTGGGGGAGTTCATAGCTCAGAACTAGAGCCAGAGCAGCTGCCTGGGTCCCTCATGTCAGCCCCCTTTCCTTGTTCCATAGACTGTCAAAATCACCTTCTACTACCATGCCAATTTCCTGCCATTGTCAGAACCCCAGAGGATCTTTTTCCGGACAGACTGGGATGAAGTCCTGCAGGCTCTGTAAAATGTCTGGAAGCACTTTGTAAGGCACATTTAATGGTTGAAACTGGACAAGGTTGTAGCCAAGGGCCTGGGCTTTGGATTCACTTATGCCTCTCTGGGCTCTCTGAGACCTATGCCAGAGACCCATGGCATGGCAGCTAGGACCTGGGTTGGCCCAAAGGTAACTGAATGTTAGCCCTGGTCATAAGTCTATCCTTGCCTCCTTCACATAAATGGAGAACACATTATTGTAAAGCAGATGTAACTACTGGTAGCAGCTGATTTACGTAGAGCTTCATTCAGGAAGTCCTACATGTCAATATATAGACCCCATAGCTTTCTCCTTTACATCAATTTCACCTTTCAGGTCCTGACAACCACAGCCATCCTTCCTATACTCTGGGTTAGAAGCAACCTTTAATAGTCTCACTCTCCTCGGCCTCTACCCTAGAAGTGAAAATATGGGAATATAACTCTAGCTAGAGAGTTTGAAAAACTTAGGTTTGATCCTTCCCTGTTCTGTCACCTTAAGCAAATCTCTTTACCCCTCTGGCTTCAGTTTCCTCCAGCTATAAAATGAATATCTTGTAACTTGCCCTGCTTACCTCCCAGGGCAGTTGAAAGGCCATGCATGATCTTCGAAAGATTCATATAAGCGTGACTTCATGCAAAATAAGCTCAATGACACGGGCTAATTTCCTTGAGAAAGTAGGCTGTTCAGAGCCCTGAACAATGTATCTGGACAGTGATTATGTTTGCAGAACTATATACAAATGACTGTTCTGGTCTTGAGCTGACAGCACAGTTGATTTTTGAAATATTCCATACAACCCTTCTTACAACACATTGCCTCTTTAGGGAAATCCTTAGTTCTGACCCTAAGCCCCTTCTCAAATTGTTTCTGCATTCTTTTGGGGTTTTGAGGCTGGCTCTGGTTGTTCAAGCAACATCTGTGAGCCTCTGGCTTGAAGGAAAATGACTAGCCAAGATCTTCTCTTAACCCTTTCCTTCCCTGGCTTTTGCTTCTTTTAGGACACATTGTCAACTTGTTGCCTGTTATTTCCAGGGCTCTGGAAGAAAAGTGCAGCCCTCTTGTGTGAAGGTAAGGACTGAATGTTGGGTGATCTGGATTGATGGAATGGAGACAAAGAGACTAAGGATGTACGGGGTCTTAACTTGCTTTTCAGGATCCAAAATCAGAATTCTGTACCCTAAAACTGCCTCTTCATCATCTTTTGATGTGGGTGCAGGAACAACTCCTAGATGTCCCCCACTAGACTACCAGGATTCCAAAAATGTAACACTGGGAAGTATTCTTTTGTGTTAAGCATTCATGGTTACAGAAGACTTTGGTACCCTTATTTTTCTCATCTTCCCTTAAGCTAGAGGCATATAGGTGTGGCCAACTTGCTGGAGTAACTTCCCTTTCAGTTTCTTCACCTCCAAGGCAGTGGTGGTAGAGAAGGAGCAGTGACCTAGATGGGTCCTGAGATCCCTCTTCAAGCTGTGAGTTTATCTCACTAATGTATACTTTAGCAGGGCCATATTTATTAGGTATTCTCTTGGTGGAGTGTTTTCATGGAAGCTGGGAAGGGGGAATCACATTTTGGCCCACTACTCACTGAGGAGGCAGGCCCTATCTACCCAGTTGTTGAGGTGCCATCCTCCAATTAGACTAGATAGCAGCACTACATGGGGTACAAGTGGGACAGGGAGTGATTCTCTAGCAGATATTCAGCCCTATGCCTTTTTTAAAGCTCCCTGTGCACAACCTTCTCCCCTTTGTTTCCCCTTAACTTCTTTGGTCCCTTTACTGTTACTCACTACTCTCCTTCCCCAACAATCCTGCCCACCATTCTTGTATTGTTTAGCTTCCTGCCTATCACTCTTTGGCCACAAACATCTGAAATGAATACTCACAAATGTATTCAATTAAATTGGCTCTACAAAAGATGTCTCTCTAACTCCTGGGGGAAAATGAAGCAAGGTAGAGAGGATGCAGATGTTGTAGAGTGATGTATTGTTCCCAGGATCTTTAGAACGCAGTTGAAGGGTCAGTAAGGATTTGGAGATCTTGCCAACCTCAGTTGAAAAAGACCCTACACCTTACCTTTTCTTTACCTTCCTTTCTGTTCCCTGTCCTTGCTCCTTATAAAATCCCTTGACCTCCTTTGCTTTGAAATAGACTGAGGCCTCCTTACCAGAGGGTGTCCTCTAAGAGGGGGCCAGGACAAGAAACAGGAGAACTGCTTCCCTCAGCATGAAAATAGCTCTCTCCTTTACCCCACCAAAATTTTCCCTAGATTAAGAGAAGGAAAGGAAATAATTTCCATTCCTATGCTTTCCTGGGTCTCCCCAGAGACAGAGGGTTACTGACAAAGACAGTGAGTAGATGGTGAGTATATAGGCTGGATGAGATGGAGCCCCTGCTAGCAGAGGGGCAGCAGTGTATAGAGAGTTCAGTCCTAGATTAGGAGTCAGAGCCCTTCATATTTCCATGGGCATAGTAAGGAGGGAAAGGGGAGAAAGAGAGGAAGAAAGCAAAAACAAGAGAGAGGGAGAGTGAGAGAAAGAGAGACAAAGAAAGATTGAGATCCCATAGGATCCTGTTCTTGCTTCTCAGAGATGGGATCCAGGCCTGTCAAAGGCAGATGGGCAGAGGGAACAATGGAGATTGTGGCACAGGAGTGCCTCTGTCCTTTCTGCTGAGCATCAGGTGAGATGAGAATACCAGAAAATCAAATGAAGTCCAGACTTATTGTCTCCATGAATCAAAAGTCAGGAGTGGAAAAGCAAAACCTTTAGTTGGAGGAACTGTTTATTTTGTCAGTTTTATGCCAAGAAGCTTGCCTGATTGTTTTCCACTGAAGTAATCAGGTGAATCAAGTTGACCAAAACTGACCAAATGATCTGCTTAGTTTTAATGTCATGTAGACACTAACTTCTCCCTGGGCTCCAGTTTTCCTACAAGTAGTCTTATGTATAGCAGCTTTTACTTATATAATAACAACACTGACAAAATTATTTCTAGGGCTAAGTTCTCTGGTTCTGGACAATCCTCTTTCCCTTCCCCCAACTCCAAAAGTGCTGCTCAAGCTGGAAGGGATCTGGATTCCTCTCTTTTATTTCAGTTTTTACCATTCTGGCAAAGAATGACAAGTTTATCCGCAATGTGGGAACCACTAACATGGATAGTCTGAACAAAGCTACCCTAATGGAGCAGTACTCAAAATTGGGATAAGACCCCAGTGCTGCTGCCTGTTACCAGCACCCCAAATCCTAAGTCCAGCCTAGCTGGATATTCTTTAAGTCTTCTGGGTTCCATTAAGTTGGCTAGGCTTCCCCTTTCCCTCCCACCTCAGCTCTACCCATCTCCCTGATCCTCACCTTGGCCCTTATGCTTTTATAATAAAGATTTATTTTTAACTTTCCATGGTGTGTTATTTATTCCCTATGCTCAAAAGTGTTTTCTCTCTTCCGCTTGATTCTTGATTTTGTTATAATATAAAAAATGTCTGATACAAATAAGATAGAACTATGTAAGAACCCCAAATTGGGGAATAGTAAATACCCCAAATGTCAGCTCTTCTCTAAACTCAGCCTAAACCCTATGTCTCTAGTTAATGCCCCATACCTAATAGGCTTTGAAATTTTTGGTGATTTCCAGGTTGTGGCAGGAATTTATATACTGCTACCCCTCACTGAAAATGGGAACTATGGAGTGGAAGGAGTAGGGAGTTGAACATTGTTGACTACAATGATCTGTGATCCCTCTAGCACTGAGATTCTGAGTTAATTAACTTCATCTCTCTGAGCCTCATTTTCTTCATTTGTAAAATGTCCTACCAACCTCACAGAGCTATGAAGTACCAGTTAGATGGCCATCCAGGTGGAAACCTGTCATGGCCAGATTGCCCCTGTGTTCTAATTGAGTGTTAGACGTTGAAAGTAGCTGATTGATGTACTATATGGAATCTCTGTGTATATAAATGGCTTAGATGATAAGAGGTAGAACCGTTTCACCTCCAGAACCAGCATCCTCAATGGCATCATGTGCTCTGGGCCTATGGAGGAAAATGGATGAAAGAGGAACTTGTGGTCTGAGTCCTTGGCGTGGGGAAGGGTGTCTTACTTTATTCCTAGGAGTTCCTAGCCAACCAGGAAATTGATTTTCAAGATCATTTCACTTACACATCAGTTGGCTGCATAAATTCTACCCAAGCCCACAAAATATTCTTCGGCCCCCTGCCTAAACCTCTTTTACTGCCCCCCCACCGATGCTTTCTATTTTCCATCCACAATCATCTTTTGCTCCCCCTCACCCAGCTTTCTAAGTACCCCTCCCTCTCCAGCCTGCCAGCAACCAGCTCACTCAAGGCCCCATCCTTTGGACAGATTCCTGGAACTCACAACCCAGATGGGAGAGGAATGAAGAAAGATTCATTTACCCCAGGACTCTTGCCTGATTTGTTGTTGGGCCTCTGCCTGATTTTCAGTCATCTGCCCCCAATTTCATTCCGGAACCTGGCTAGGGCCAGGCCTCATTTTCCTGGCAGCCCAACTCCTCCCCCCTCTTTCCTTCCATCCAGGCATTCAGCCACAGGCCAACTGTGGGTCAAGTACAACGGCTCATTCGAGGGGCCAAGCAGGTGGCCCTGGCCTACATTTGGCCCTAGGGAGCTTCTTGTTTTCTCCTAAACTTCCAAGAATCTCCATTCCCAGATGAAGCATGCTGTCAGATCTTGGCAGATGACAAAACCTGTCCTCCTTTCCCTCTTCTGCCTGAGACTAAACCTCTCTTTCCTCTGATGTACAATATAGAAGATCCTGCTAGGATCTGGACCAGGAAGGCTTGAGGGTCAACTAGAGTGCAGTTCTCTGTGCAAAGAGGAAAATACTCAGCTTCTGAATCTCCAAACTAGCATGTTAATATTCCCATTATAAGAACCTGAGGTAGTCCACCTCTCTATCCCTGATCCTTTGGTCTTTGGATCTGCATATTCTGGGGAGAAAAGCCTATGCCAGAATGTGAAGGCACTTCTTAGCAGCCTGGATGTGGCAAGGAAATATTCAAAAAAGCAGCCAACCTAACATTAAAGACTCAAAGGACAGATTTCTAAGCTGGTTCAGGGAAGAAAGGTCTAGGTCCCCTCTTCCAAGTCCCTTTTATGGAGTGGCACATATCTGTAATCCCAGCAACTTGGGAGGCTGAGGCAGGAGGATCACAAGTTCAATGCCAGCCTCAGCAGCTTAGTGAGCTCCATCTCAAAATAAAAAAAAATAAAAAGGGCTGAGATATATCTCAGTGGTAAAATGCCCCTGGGTTCAATCCCAGTATGAAAAAAAGAAAACAGAAAAAAAAGGAAGCCCAACTCTCTGACTTCTAAGCTGAGTGCTATCCTACTCCCAACCCTTATTGGTAAAGACATAGTGATCATGAGTGGATCCTGTTTCTTTCCTGCAGAAACTGGAACCATGTGCATATCCGGTGGGTTATCCCAGAAGGTAACTCCCATGTCCCCTCATCCTTCAGGGGAAAAGGGAGAACAGGGTGTGGCTGGGAATTCCACTTTCGAGGAATAGGACTATTAGGTGAAACTAAGCCTCTTAGCCACTGTGTGGCACCATTTACCCACTTTTCTATGTACAGTTAATGGCTGTGTGCAAAGCAAATTCAATTTAAAAACATGCAAACTTTTCAGGGATCTGGTTCTGACTTGGTTAACAATTGGATGAGGGTGTTTGGGCAAATCCTGTACCTTTTATGAGCCTCGGTTTCTCATTTTGTGAAATAGGAGGCAGATGAGGGTCACTCAAGTCCCTTCCAGCTTCATAATTCTGCAAGTATGTGAGTATACTCCCAGTGGTCATTGAATTATGCAATTTTGTGCCTTGGGGCCACACAGGGTGAGTACAGAAAAAAGCACAAAGGCCAGGGTATGTGTAGAGCTAAGATGAGGAAGGGCATCAGGGAAGCAGGAGGGCTTGGCAACACACGAACCTGGATTTCTCCTGAGCCTCCCATGGTGCCAAGAAAAAGATGAGGGTGCCATTCATTTGCTGAGTAAACACTAACTGACCACAAACTTGGTGCCAGGCACTGTGTGATGGAAGTGAAGTTGGGGTATAGGTGGGAGTGGAGTGGATGTTGGGTGGGACACTAAGGCGAATAAACCCCCAAAGTGTTTACCAGCCAGTGGGGAAGTAGATAAGTAAACAAACAACCAGAACACAAGAGAGAATGGAGCCTCTACTAAAGAGAAACACAAACTGCTGGATGTGGGGAGGAAGGAGGGATAAATTCTGACCAGATAAGGAAGATTTCACAGAGAAGGAACCATTTTAACTTGAGTTTTAAAAGATGAACAGATGTCTATGAGGGAGGGGTTAGACAGAGGAAGATAAGGAGGGAGAGGGAAAGGCAGATATTCTGGAAGATGGGAGATAGGTATATTTATGTTGTTTGGGGAAAATAGGGACTAGTCTGAGGTGCATGGATGGAATGGAAGAAGAGTTTGCAAAAATGGTTTGGGGCCAGATTCTGAGTTTATGGAGCCCTTTTCACATGCCTAGCTATTTTCAGAGTGTAAAGGACAGGCTTCCAAGATGTGCACAGTTTCAGTCCTTAGGGAAGGCAAGACCTATTCCCTCATGCATACACAAAGGTACAAAAAAAATTAAACTGAATGGGGCAGGCAAGCCTGATTGGAAACATGGCACACATCAAAAGAAGTGAGAGCCTGGAAGGGTACCACGAGGGAAAGTACTCTTCCTGTAGCATGTATTCCACTCTCCTACTCTTCTTCTGAAACTCAGATGGTTAGAAGACCTGACCTATAAGGAACAGGAAGAGGCCCTGTTTTAAGGAAGGGAAAGCCATCCTGGGAGACCTGGCAAACTTCCCATTCAGTGACTACATTTGCAGGACTCCATCTCTAGTTTGTTTCCCAGTTAGACCTTATCAACCAGGGACAAATAGCGAAAGGCCTGAGGCATCACAGGAGCTAGTATCTATGCTATTAGGATAATAAACTAGGTGGGATTTATGTTAGACTTAAGGAAAGAAGAAGTCTGTGTTCTGAGAAGTTCAGGAGTTCTGAAACCATGAAAGATTAGAATATGTTTCTTCAATAGCTGATGAGTGCCCACTTAATGTCAAGCACACTGCTGGAGGAAGGAATGTAGTGAGGGAGGTTGTACCTTGTTCCACCCTTTGGGAACTCACAGTTAAGATGGGTGTACTATACAGAATAATTCTCCCACAAAGATGGTCACATTCTTAAGCTCCATGAGTTATGGGTATACTATATTCCATGGAAAAGTGAAATAAACATTTCAGATGGAATTAAGGCTGCTAATCAGATGACCATAAAATACAAAATGATCCTTAATTATCCAGGTAGATTCAAAATCATCATGAGTCCTAAGAATTGGGAGAAGGCAGCAGGAATGGCAATCAGAGGTGTAACAAGGATTTACCCTTATGTTGCTGACTTTTAAAATACAGAAATGTGGGGCTGTGGTTCTGGCTCAGAGGTAGAGTGCTTGCCTGGCACGTGTGAGGCACTGGGTTCGATCCTCAACACCACATAAAAAGAAAATAAAGATGTTGGGTCCACCTACAAGTAAAAAATAATTTTAAAAATACGGGAAGGGGCCACAAGCCAAATGATGCAAGCCGCCTGTAGAAGCTGGAAAAGGCCAAGAAAGAGCTTTTTATCCTAGACCCTCTATAGAGCCTCCAGAAAAGAATATAACCTTACCAACAACTTGATTTTAGTCCAGTGAGACCTGTGTTAGATGTCTAAGGACCCCAAAAAATAAATAAATGAGTAAATTCATGTTATTTTCAGCAACTAATGGTGTGGCTTATTTTTTGTTTGTTGGTTGGTTGGTTTTTGGGGGGATTGAATACAGGACCTCTCATGTGCCAGACAAGTGCTCTACCACTGAGCTATATATCCCCAGCCTTTTTTATTGAGACAGGGTGTCACTATATTGCCAGGACTGGCCTCAAACTTATGATCCTTCTGCATCATGAGTAGCTGGGATTATAAGCATGTGTCACCACACCCAGCTGTTTGTGACAATTTGTAACAGCAACAGTTAGAAAACTAATATAATGTACACATACATAATAATATTCTAGTATGAAAAGTGTTCTAAGAAAAAAAGAAAAAGAAAGCATGTTGTGAGAAAGCAGAGGGCCAGGAGCAGTGGCAAATTCAGGTAGTCCTAGCCACTTTGGAGGCTGAGGCCAGAGAATCACTATTCAAGGCTAGCTTCAGCAATGTAGCAAGACCTTATCTCAAAATTTTAAAACAAAAGGAACTGGGGATGTAGCTCAGTGGTAATGAACCCCTGGGTTCAATTCCTAGGAGAGAGAGAAAGAATACGCAGAAGACAGGAACCTGTCTTAGAGGCAATGAATCAAGGAAAGTTACCCAAAATAGTTGACAATAAGATGGATATGGAAGAAAATGCAGTTTTTAGCAGCTGCAGGAGATGAGACACTGTCTTGAAGACAGAGACACTGTGTACAAAAGTACCAGGCATGAAAGAGGCTGGCAGATTTAGAGAATCAAGAAGCAAAAATGGACTGGAGAAGAGGATGGGCAGGATGTATGGAGAGAAGGGGGCTTACAGGGGTGACAGAGAAAATTGCTGCCTCTACCTTCTCCACTCTGAAAGTGCAAATTGCCCAAGTTATTGTCTGCCTTTCTTAACTGACTTAAGAACTTAACTCTAGAGCCAAAGCTTGTCACAGCAAAACTCAGAGGCCCCTGGTACCACTACCCCTTTCTCCATTCTAGCCATAAAGTCCACTAAGGGGACCATACTCTTCCACCAGCTCCACAGCAAGGCAGTGACCAAGAAGGAAGAGACAAGAGCCTGATTGCATGTCTAAAAACTCTCAGTCCATCTGGGGCCTGACTCTGAGGGAATGGGCTGAAAAGGAAGAAGAGAGGAGGGTATTGTTTTGTGGTAGAAATCTTCATTCCTCATAGAAATTTCTGGAGAGGCATGGGGGCTGGGCCAGGGGGTGGAGGTAGGAGCTATCTTGGAATTTAGAATCATCTGGGTGCTCCATTGGCAAACTCTCTGTAGCAAAATATGAAACTGACTCAATCCTGGGGAGGGGTCCAGGAGGCAGGGGTGAGGCAGGACAGCAAGAGGAGGGGATGTGGTTTGTGTCCCCTCAAAGGGGTTTGGGACAAGGAGGCTTCTCTCTTGTTCCTCTAACCTTCCTCTTCTTCCATCCCTACCCCCATCCTTGGCACCAGGGCCTCTGGAGCAAAGGGAAGAAAAATGAGTGGGCAGAAACAGCTGGATGCAGCCAGGAGCACATCTGGCCTCCCTGGGCCTCACTCCCCCTTCCCCCAACACTCTTTCCTCCTTTTCAGGTTTCTGATGGGGGTCTATAGTGGAGCTGGGGGGGGAGGGTGGGGAATTACAGCGAGGCTGGGTGGAGGTGGGGTTGGGGCGGGGGAGAATGTTGTTCTAAATATTAGCTGGGCTTGTGAGGTGGCCTCTTGGCTGGAGCCTGACCACCTAACTTCCTGTTTTTCCTACAGCTGCCTCCTCCCCTCCCTCTTCTCTGGGCTGGAACTGAGCCGGGGAGGAAGGAGGAGCAGCAGAGTTGGCCAGGGTCGCTTTTCTGATTCCCTGCAGGCTGGGGGCCAGGACGGCCTCCCTAAGCAAGCAGGCGGAGGCACATATAGCCCTAGATCCCGTCGTTGAATCTCAGCACTTGCTCCTCTGGCCACAGCAGGAACAAGAGGCTCCTGGAAAGCCCCAACTTCTCACCAGCTCTTCCATGAGCACACCCTGGTCCCAGGGCCTGAGATTTCTCCATGCAGGAGCAGCCAGAAACTCCAGAGGCGGCGGCAACGCCGGACACACCACCCGCCCAACTGCCTCCAGCCCCACCACCCAGCCAGCTGCTGGTCCCTTCTCTGCCAGTGTTCGTGGACCACGCAAAACAACCAAGTGAGTGAGCAGGGACTGGCTGGGTGAGGGAGTAGGGTTTCTTGGCTGGGGGTGTCTTCCTGTGCTCCTTTTTTTGCCCTCAGGGACAAACATGGGAGACAGGCAGGCTGTCTGTCAGGGTTCGGGGACACTGAAATGTTGGTCTGAGTAGGTGTTTTGACAACTCCTGGTTTGCCCTTCTGTGCTCCTTTTGCCCTCTCTCTCTCCTCCACCCCTCCACTCTGTTTTTTTCCCTCTCTCTTCCCAGGCAAGGAACTCATTAAGCCCAAAGCAATTTTAGGGCGCCCAGTAGAGAGACCTGCAGAGGCTGCTGCTGCTGCTGCGGAGGCTGCTGGTGCTGCTGCTGAAGAGTGCCCGGCATTGGGCACCAGGGGAGTTGGAGTCAAAAACCATCGCTGTCAGGTCTGCCGGCCCCCCAGCCAGTTCCTCAAGTCAGGCACTTCCTACTCCCTGTGGAGACCTAGGGATCTCTAAGGCCCTCCAGCTTCCCCTGCCACCTCCATCTTCATTCCTCATTCCTGGTACTTAGCCTCCCTTTGTGGCTTCTCTTTTTATTCACTTCTCCAACCAACCCCATCTCACCCTACCCACTCCCTAATTTTCAAGGTGACTTTAGAGGATTAAGAGAAGCCCCTATCCCTATCTTGATCGGTTAGTCTGCAATTGCCTGTCTGTGACTTACCCTGCTGTATACGGTGGCACAATTGTTCTCTCAGAGCCACCAGGAGTCTCCCAAGACCCCTGACTGACATCTGTTTCCAGGCTAGGCTGGTTTTTCTCCTGGAACTGCTAGGCCCAGGAGAGACTCTGGCTAGTCACTGTGACTACACCTGAGAGTTTGCTGTCCTCCTGTTTCCTGAAGACCCAGGAGGATCTTGGGCAGCCTCTCGTGGGTCCCTGGGCTGCCACATCACTTTTGTGGCCCTCAGCCCCCTCCCTGCCCTGGCCAAGCCAAGGAAGGGAGAGGAAGGCAGGAGGACCCTGTCCTAACCCCTGTCATCCCTCCTCTTGCCAGCGGATCCGAGCCAGCCGAGAAGCAGGCTCACGGTTTGCCATGGAGGGCTTGGATGATAAACTGATCCTGAACGTGGGGGGCATGCGCCACGAGACCTACATCAGCACCGTGCGGGCCTTCCCAGGCACCCGCCTCTACAAGCTGACCGAGCCACCCCCGCCTGGCAGTCCGGCTGCTCAGGGTCCACCCGTCCGAGAGTTTTTCTTTGACCGTAATCCTGAGCTCTTTAGCTATGTGCTGGGCTACTACCGTACTAGGCAGCTGCACTGCCCCAATGACGTTTGTCGGGATGTCCTAGAGGAGGAGCTGGCTTATTGGGGCCTGGCGGAAGCGCCTTTGGCACCTTGCTGCTGGCTCAAGCTAAGTGGCAGGGAGACCCGGACCCAGGACTTCCTCTCCTGGGAGGCCTGTGAGAACGCCCACCTAGATGAACGTCTTCTGCTGAACCCCATGGAAGGCCAGGGACTGCGGAATGCTTGGAAGCCATGGCTCTGGGTGCTTCTTGATCAACCCCAGTCTTCCCTAGGAGCGAAGGTAACTCATTAACAATGTGTAGCACCTTGTTATACACTTTTATCTATGAAGGGCCTGGCCCTGCCAAGTTGCCACAATAACTATGCACTTGGCATGGGCCCAAATCTATAACCCCCCCAGGAAAACTTGAGGGGGTTTCCTTAAAATGGAGGGGGAAAAGGGTGGAAATGTCGGTAGGGAAGTGGGGATGACTGGTAAATGAGGTTTCTGACATTCATCTTTTTTTCCCAGTGCCTTTCCCTGATCTCCACACTCTTTGCTGTGTGTGCCCTGGTCATCTTCTTCCAGGAGACAGAGGTTCAGCTGGATTACTTCTCTGCCAACTTCACTCCTATGGGACATGGGGCAGGGGTGGGAGGAAACCAGCAGCAGCAGCAGCAGCAGCAAAACAATGGTCTTGTTTATCGCCGTGCCCCCCACCTGCTCTACCTGGAATTACTCTGTGCCCTTTGGTTTGGAACTGAGCTTTTTGCACGAGCCATTTCCTGCCCTGATAAGGTGCGCTTCCTGTGTAGCCCCCTCAACCTGGCTGACATCTTCTGTTTGTTCCCTGTGCTGGTGGAATTAGTGGTGGGTGACAAGGCTGAACGGCAGCCTCGCCTTAGCCTCACCCTTGGGGCCATTCGTTCTCTCTATGTCCTCAAGCTGGTTCGTCTCCTGGGTTTTCTTGAAAAGTCCCTGGCCCTGAGAGTCCTGGTTCATACTCTCCATTCCTCCTGGAAAGAGGTGTGTGCCTTTCTCCTGATTTGGGTGGCTGAAATCTTATTCTTTGGCTCACTCTTCCTCTATGGGGAGCTTTTGGGCATGTCAACCCCAGGACAGAGTGAGCTCCACTTTGGAGACATCTTTACCTGTCTCTGGTGGACTGTTATAACTCTCACCACTGTCGGCTATGGAGACATCTACCCACTCTCTGCTATGGGCCAGCTCACTGCTGCTGTCACAGCCACCGTGGGCATGTGCACTGGTGTCTTGCTGGTGCCTGTGCTCCTGGTCCGCTTCCAGCGCTATTATGCTGTAGCCCTGGCTCGCCAGAAACTAAGGCCCAGTGGGATCCTATAATAGGCCCACTGGTCAAGAGGGGTGGAGCCCACCTTCCTGTACTTCCTCTTGCCAGTTTTTGGTTACAGATTAGGATTTCCGGCTTTGGATTTGGCAAAGAATCCTTCAGGAGCAGCCCCAGGTCATGACAATTCCTGCTAGTCAGGATCAGATAAATATCACCTATAGGTCAGACTCCTCATCCTCATCAAGGGAAGAAGGAGCTTAGGGACAAGGCTAGTTAGTTCTTACATTCCCCTGCCCCACCCTAGGCCCTTCTCTGAATACCAGAATGACCAGGAAGGATAGAGTGTAGTTCTTCCTGGATTGGTGCTATATCCCCCTCTCAACTAGATCTCCCTTCACATTCACTCATCCCTTTCTGCCCAACTGGACCCTAGTCTAGATGGGAGACTTTTGCATGATGGTAGCCATAGTATATCAAGATTGGTTGCCCATGTCAATGGTGATTGGCTGTGGGTATCAATGATAATTGTCTGTGAATATCTGACAGCAACTGGTTATGGGTATTGATGACAATTTGTACTTTCAGTGCCCAGAAATAGCCAGATTGTAGCATTGCTCTCTCTCTCCGTACTGCTCCTGGGACAAATGTTCCTTAGAGGCAGAAGGAGGCCTTTGAAGAGTCTCAGAGACTCCAATCAGATGCAGGTCAGCCACGTCTGAACCCGAAGCACTCTTAAGTCCATGACCTCCTCATCCCATTATATCCTTGCCCAATTCTGCCTCATCCCCTCTTCTCCCCATCTTTGATTTTTTTCATAATATTTTAGATTTAGTATTAGCCATCATTAATCAAAATATATTAGTCAATATTAACCACAGTATCTCAGTCATGATAACAGTATGTAGTCACTAATAGACATAAAATGTTATCATTGCATATTGTTTGGACAGGAATGAGGAAACTGGGATTGTGGACAAGAGTACACAAACAATTTCCTCTTCCATATTTTTTTCTTTTTTTTTTTAATTTTACTCCTTTACAATTCTTTTTTTTTCTTCCAAATACTTTTCAGTACCCACAACGGGTCTACCTCCAATCCTCGCTGCTATTGAATATTCCCACCTTCCAACCTCTTCCTCTTCTTTTTTTTTTTTTTTTTTACTACCTGTATGCTCTTCCCTCCTGGCTTTCCCATGGTGTTCCCCACCATGCACCTCTCTTGGAACTGGCTTCCAGGAGAGACAGAAGGGACCTACTCAGGTCTAACTTCAAATCAAGCCACTGGGTTGTCTGAACAAGTAACCCAGGCAACTAGGCAGAGCCGGGAGGTTGAATTGAGCCCTCACTGTTGCTGAAGCTGTGAGCATAATTCTGTTTACAAAACTTTTAAATAAAATATCCTTTGATATCTCTATTCCATGGTTGTCTGTGCTTTTTCTGGGGGAGGCATGCGGGTATCAGCAGGGGTGGATTGGTACAATAAATGACAAGAACATTTAGGCAAATTATTTGATAGGGTAAAAAGCAGTTTGCTGGGCTGAGGCTGTAGCTCAGTGGTAGAGCACTTACCTAGCATTTGTGAGGCACTGGGTTCAATCCTCAGCACTAAATAAAATAAATAAATATAATAAAGGTCTATCAACAACTAAAAAATATTTTTAAAAAGATCGGTTTGCTGTCTTCCATGTGTCTGGTCCTTACAATAAACTGTTATTAGTCACAGATACCTTGACTGGGAGAGGAAAAACTTTTTGTTTGTATTAGGAACAGGTTGGGGAAGGGAAGAAAACAGGTCCAGGAGTTGAGGAATAGAAGCTTGGATATCTTCTTTAGGGAATGCTTCTAGAAACCCTGGGTACTTATACAAGGTGGGAGGTTGTTAGGGGAAGGGTTTCCATATTAGGAGCACTGAAAGAGAACCAGAATCATGGAAAAACATCAAAGACAATATTTATATTCTTACTGCCTGGAAGTAGAAGATGCTGGAGCAATTTGCAGCTTTCAGCGACTGTTCTAGTCCACTACCCTTAAGGTACAGATAGGGAAAAATAAAGTCTAGATATTGAGGTGATTTTTCCCCAAGGGAAAAAGTGACAGAGCTGGGAGTTCTGTGACCTCAGAGAAATTATGCATCAATCTTTATTAACTCACTAGCGTCATAGTTGAATGATTAGAATTTGCAATAAAATTAAGCAAGGCTGCACCCTGTTTCAAGTAGTGGAAATGGTGGTGGTGGATGAAGGGATGGAATTGAGGCTAGGATGTTGCACAGAATCTTGACGGCTTGAGTGAGAAAAGTGGGATGTTAAAGTAGGGAGAGAAGAGCATTAAATGCCATGGCACACTATAAAAAGAATCATGTAGAATGTCAGGTAGATTCCAGGGAAAAACCTGGAATCTCATCAAGACCAATCCCCTCCTAATTGGGGTGGGGGGGCTGAGGCTCACAGAGAAGCTGGGTTTATATACTGACATGGTTTATATACCGAGTCAGGAGCAGAGTTGCAATCACCCTGCCACACAGGAAGAAAGACTATTTCCTGTTATTTTCCCCCTTGCATCTTGCCTGGACAGTCAAGACATTAACTAAAAGGGAAGGGAGAGGACAGCACAAAGATTCATGGCCTGCCTGGTACTTCTATTACGAAACACTATAGAATGACAGCGATGAAAAGCTTAGTTAGTGCTTGTTTCTATGACAGAACTCTATATCTGAATCCATCCTGAGCCTCCAGCACATAATGCCCTCAAATCCCCTAGAACTTAAGGCCTTTTCTGAATACTGAGAATGTCCCAGTATTTTGTCTCTTCTCATGATTAAGTTATCACTCCAATACTAAAGTCACCTCTTCTCCTCAGATATGAATTGCCCTTCTTCTGAGGAGGGCAGGGACAAGATGGGTGTTATAGTTTATATAAGTGTCTCCCAAAGGCCCAGGTGTTAAAGGCTTGGTCATCAGCCTGTGGTGGAGGAGGTAGTGGAACTTTTAAGAGGTAGGACTTAGTGGAGGAAAGTTAGGTCATTGGAAGCATGTTTTGAAGGGAATTTGGGGACCTCAACCTCTCCTCTCTCCTCTCCCACTTCCTGGCCACCATGGAGTGAGCAACTTATTTGGCCACATGTTCCCACCATGATGTACAGAGCTACCATAGGACCAAAAGAAATGAGCCAAATGACCACAGACTGAAACCGCCAATACTGTGAGCCCAAATTAACTTTCTTCCTTTCTAAATTGATTATCTCAGATATTTTGTCACATCAACTGTATGCTGGGTAAAACAATGGGAATGCTGAAACATACCTTTAATTTGAGAACATCCTGCCATATGTAAAGAAGAGTTCTTTCCTCACATGTGAAAACTCCTTAGCCATGAGCTAACTTGTGCCCTGAACCATTCTCACAATTCAGTCACACTCCACCCTAAATATTTGTCCTCATCCCCCTTAACCTGCCCACTTTGCCCATGGCAGAGACCCCACTGGTCCTACTGTCCACATAGCCCTGGAAATCCTCCTCGTTTCTTGTGTCTGGTGAGAAGGGTCAGATGCCAAGCACATGCTTCTCATCTGGATTTCTCTCATTAGGAGAGACTGAAAAGTTTGTGGGCTAACCCCATCCTATGTCTGGCCCTATCTAGTGAAGCATACAGTTGTCTTCTCTGTCTTCCTCCTGCCTCAGCTCTTTAACAGTTGCTTCAGCGTGTTGTCTACTTCAGCCTGCACTTTCAGCTTAGACCAATAGAGGGCAACCATGGCCAGTTTATGAAAAATTATTTTGGGTGTGGCCTCTCCCTCCCTTCACTTCCTTTTGAGTGCTTGTAACATTCTAGAACCACAAGTTCTCTGCATCAAAGTGTGTGTTTAAATAACTTATTTCAGCTCCCCTCGTAATAAAAAGAGAAACTGAGGCCCTGAGAAGGGGTGAAACAGTCTAAATTCAGACAATGATTCACTCTGTGGCAGTTAGGGCGAAAACCCAGATTTCCTGAATCCCAGTTCAAAACTCTTGGCACACACTGCTAAGCATCAAATCCAAATGCCTCTTTTTTATAGTTGTGGAAACTGAGGCCCAGAAAATAAATAGTCTAAGATTATAAAATTGTGACAGAGATAAAACTTGAACCCAGGTCTTCTGAATCCTAGTCCAGGACTCTTGAAACATAACATTAGGCATCCAGTTCATGCTGTCTTTTACAGATGATAAGGGTCAGAGAGGGATTTTCATTTACTTGAAGTCACAGTAAATTAGTGACAGAAGTATAGACCAAGGCTGGCTGTTAGAACTGGGAATCAACAGAAATTGGGACTCTGATTTCTGGTCTTCCAGATACCCCAATGACTTAGAGACCTCCCCCACTCCAAATCGCAGAATTAAATAGCAGAGGTGGGGGTGAGGTCCTTACTTAAGCCCTTTTGTTGTCAAGAAGCTGGAATATGGGGCACAGTTTGTATATGTGACTGTGTAGTGAGGTGTCTGCCTACCCCTCTTCTGCACCCCCTCCACAGGAAAAAGAAAAAAAAAAAAAACTCTCAACAAAAGGCTCACCTCATTTCTCCCCTTTCAAGGCCTCCCGGCTTTGAGAGTGAGAGGATGACTCATTCGGCGCCCACAGTCGCACTGCAGAGAACATAATTGCTAGCTGGGACATCACCATAGCACCCAGCCATCACATTTGCAGAGCGCTGTCTTGTTTTTGTCAAAGCTCTTTCCTATCTTTTTTTTTCACTGCTACTTCCCCAAGCCCCAGGGAGCCAGATGAGGCATACACCATTACCCCTTCTTTTATAAAAAAGAAAATGATTTATGGCCAGGGTGGGGGTGAGGGGGCGTTTGAGCAAGTTTAGAAGAGACTGATTAAATCCCTTGATCCTTTGATTTCCAAGTTTCTGAAGTGTTCTGCATAAATACCCAGAGCCCCAGAAGAGGCATCAATGTCCCCCAAGTACCTCCTGGCATTGCTCTCTCTCATCTATTAATCACTTGGCTGGGGCCAGACACTGGGTTGAGATTTAATTGGAGACAAAGGAGACTCAGATTCTGTCCTTAAGTATCACAATCTACATATTGATTAGGTCACCACCACACCCAGTGGCCATCCTCAGTTTTCTTTTCTTCTCTTGGCAAAGTGACCTCGACAATGCCTTTCAGCTGGTGGCATTGAACCAATTTTATATATTTTTTTTCAGAGCACTTGATTAAGAGTCAGGAGATCAGCATTCTCATTTCAGTTCTTCAATTACTTGACTGTATAGCAATAGATTAGTCCTTTCTCTGTAGACCTAGTTTTGCATCTGCAAAATGATGAGGTGTGCGGAGAAGTAGGAATAGAGTTGCTAAGAATCATTGGATTAGATCATTTAGGAGATGAAGACCATTTGTGATCTGTAGGCAGTGCCCTTTTCTTGGGTGAAAGACTGGAGGGTAGGAGCTAACAGGCTCTGTCTGCTATGGGACACTTCTTCCTGCTACCTTCTTCCTTAGCTCTGTGAACCATTCCTCAGAGGCAGAGGACTTGAACTTCTTGAAGACCTCAGAAAGACCCCACTTCTACTTGTGCTTACCAACAATATTCAGGAAGCACCAGAATTATTTTGGATGGGAAGCCATTCGGTCAAAGCCATTCAGTCATATTCTAGGGTTGAGGATGGATCAGAGAGATGAAAACAGAGAAAAGCATAGGGGCTGGGGTTGTGGCTCAGCAGTAGAGCACTCATCTAGCACGTGCAAGGCCCTGGGTTTGATCCTCAGCACCACATGAAAATAAATAAATAAAATAAATATGTTGTGTCCAGTTATAACTAAAAAATAAATATTAAGATTCTTTTTTAAAAAAAGAAAAGCATAAATAGGCAGAGACACAGAGGGGGGAGAGACAAGAGGTCAAGAAAGAAAGACTGTGGGAGGCAAAAAGCTAAAGGACAAAGACAGAAAATAGGAAGAGAAAGAGACAAAACAGGAAGACAGGGACAGAGAGAGGGAGAGATAGAAGAAAGAAGGAAACAGAAATGGGAGAAGGGAAGACAGAGAGTAGGGAGAAGGGAAAAACGTTGAGAGGGAGGGAGGGAGGGAGGGGGAGAGAGGGAGGGGAGAGAGAGAGAGAAAAAAACATACCAAGTCCCCAGAGGCCTTCTGACAGGAGCTGCATAAAATCCTATATCTTGAAATAATGGAAACCAGAACTGAAAGGATTTAAAAATCAAGGCCAGAGAGGGTTTGACACTTATTCATAGTCACACAGCAACCTCATGGCAGTATGGAAACTCAAACCTATGACTAGAATAAGGTAGCTTAATACAGGTTGGCCTGAGATTCCAGAGGCCTGGAGTTTGTCAGTGTTTCTTTGTAGGACTTCAGGCAATGCACAATGTCTGCCCCAGAGGAAGCACTAGCATCAGAGGAGTACTGTCCTCAT